AAAAAAAAAAAAATACACCAGTTAGAATAAAGTGCCTTCCCTTTGAAATAAAAGCCTGGAAAATTCTTTAAAGTCATTTTTAAAAGCATAACAACTTTAAAAACCACAGCTTCTTGCCACCCTCTGACACTTACCCTTCCACATGTACCAAATGTCAGCACCGTACGACCTGTTCCAGAGCACGGCTCCCACGCAGCTCACCACGACCATGGCCACAAGCAGCAGGAACAAGATGGGGATCTGCACATTGGTCACTTTCTCAATGTTTGATTTCTTGAGAGGTGATTTGGCAGAATTCTGTACAATAGCATGCACACACAAGCACACCCCAAAGAAACCAGAAAAAACAAAGCAAAACAAAAAAGAAATTATAGTGTACAAACATTTTGATTGCAAGAGGAGGAAAAATTCTAACAGTAGAAAGCAGAATACATTTTGTTTGCTGATTAACTAACAGAATAAAAATGCACCACATTGTTGAACGAGCATGGCTTTTCTACTTGAGTCCTAAAGAGCATTTCACTACTTCATAGAAAACATATTCACATAGAAGACCCATCACCTCAAAGTTCTAGGGTTTTTAAAAACACCAAGTGTGGTAAATCTCACAGTCTAGATGACCTTTTGTACAAGCAGAAAAGAAAAAAGAAGACCTCACTAATTTATTGGCTTTACCATGTCTGGTTACCGAATTATTTCTAGTTTAAAAACCATGGAAAGATATCTTTCACCTGAGTTTGTTAGGAAACTATTCAAGGTTTTATCAGTACAATAATAGTCCTAAAATGTGCACATGTTAGGGAAACCTAAGCTCAGAAGAATCTTCTGAGATGTATCACCTACTTGAAGGGAGAGCTTTAAATGTTAATTTTCTATTAAGACTTCAGGTTTTCCCATAAATCTCTGTATAAGGTCTGCAGAGGTCTATGGCGACATAGACCAAAAAATTCTTAACTTTTCAATCATATTAAATCAGATTAAATTTACCATTTCCACATTTTAATGAAAATGTAGATGGATAAATGCTCAAACCTTACAAATTATGAAAATATGAGTTAATAATGAAAATAATTCTTAGAAAGCACACAAACAGCTAAGGTTAAAAAAATCCCAGGTATAATTGCACTAAGCATATTACAAGGGCACATCCTTGTAATTTCATCTCTGCATATTTACATACATACATACAAACACACATATATAATATTACATATATATGCAAAGCAATCATGTTATTTCCTCTCCTTGATTAAGTCATATAAGTAATAGTTTCTTTTTTTTTTTTTTTTTTTGAGACACAGTCTCACTCTGTTGCCCGGGCTAGAGTGAGTGCCGTGGCGTCAGCCTAGCTCACAGCAACCTCAAACTCCTGGGCTCAAGCGATCCTTCTGCCTCAGCTTCCCGAGTAGCTGGGACTACAGGCATGCGCCACCATGCCCAGCTAATTTTTTCTATATATTTTTAGTTGTCCGATTAATTTCTTTCTAATTTTAGTAGAGACGGGGTCTCGCTCTTACTCAGGCTGGTCTCGAACTCCTGAGCTCAAACAATCCGCCCGCCTCGGCCTCCCAGAGAGCTAGGATTACAAGTAATAGTTTCAAATGTTGTATAACAGGGAATAGTTCTCAGCTGAGTGTATTGACTTTTAAATCTTTGGTAAGGAAGTATTTATATTTACTAGTTGTTTCTTTTCTAAAGCCATGCAAAATCCCTCTCTGAGATTTGTATTATTCTGAAATGACATGGTCAACACGGATAATAACCCCTGCAATGACTCAGATCCACAAAGTGACGTGACTGAGCAGATGCTCTTGGGCATGAGCTGAAGCACAGACCAGCCACATTGGGAGAGTAACGAAATGTGGTTCGCTAATTTACAGCAGACGTTGAAATCGTCGGTGAAATGTTGTACTGCCCTGTATACAATTAAATAATATAGCATTATCTTTTGGAGACGATGGAAAACAAAAACGGGTAGTGTTGGAGAGTCGTGCATGTTACAGTTGAATCCCAGGTCATGATAGTGTGGGTTCCAGTGAACCACATGCAATGGCCGATTCTTAACCTTGGTCCCCTGTCCAAACACAAACTTTTATTTTGGTAACCAAACTTGCATTTTACATCACTATCTTACCCTGGGTTCCTTAATAAGCAGAATCTGAATTAAAATTTACACATTAAGGCATTATTTCAGGGTGCAATTCCAGGACAGAAAGAGTGAGGGGGGAAAGAAAAGAAGTATGTGTCATCACAGATGATCTTACCTGCATGAATTTGGTTTCAGACCCAGTGTAGACAACTATGCCAATGATCCACTGAGTATTTATAAGCTGTGTGGCTCTCAGCAGGACCTGGTCAGGCCCAATTGGAACAGAGCTAAAAGTAAAAAAGAGCATTTATAAAGGACCAAAGAAATATTCTCTTTTCACAATGTAAACAAAGCATAAATTTCACCTTATGTATACTTTCTTTTGTCAGGCTAAACTTCTGGGCAAATGACAGTAAACAAATATGTCTTCATAAAAAACACCTATTCCTAAAAGAGCATGGAAAATTTTTGCTTTAGTATCCATTTCTCACTGTTCTAAACAAATGTTGATTAAAAATTTTAGAGAGAAAAATCATCTTTTATTCACAGGGTAACTATAAAACCTGTCAGAGAGAAACATGTAAATAAAAAATAGATAAACATGTAAATAAATAAATAGATACCTGTGTGCCAATTTAGTAATCTATAGGCAAGATTACACGTGCTAATTCAGAGCTCAGAAAGCACGTTCAGTCTGCCATATTTCCGCGGCTCCTCCCCTCCGACAGCGGGTTGACTCGCTACGTAAAAGATGTTCCTATGAAAGCCTCAAGCGGAAAGTATCCCGAAGTGGAGCAGAAGCAAGGAAGACTCCTCCATCATTATCAAACCAAATCCCTAGTGGCTTCTCTTTGGTCACTTTCAAAACCTTGCTCTTCCCACTGACTTACTCCAAGGAATGTGCCAAGTACTTATACTCGATGGGAACTTGGACTTCACTTCTCTAGCCCTACCATCTACTGGTATGATTATTAAGAAAATGCCATACACTTTCCATCTATATTTAAGAATTCTCTTTTAACAATTATTAATAAATAGATGCTTCAAGGTATTTCAAAGACAAATAAAACATGAACAAGTACAATGTTTTAAAATATTATTGGTTGACGGAATAAAAAACATCACATTCTATGTTCCGTAAAAGAAAAAAAAATGTTTAAGAAGAGAAAGATGATACCTTCTATCCCTTAGGCACAAAGTTCCGATAAAGCTATCGAAATGACAATTGGGTCCTTCACATTCTATTCTTCCAGCTAGTTTTAACAACTGCTTTTCCGTTTTCATTTCAGCTGTTTCTGGCAAAGCCTATAAAATAAAACCAAAGAGGCGAAATGAAAATAAAAGTTTAATGTACTGTGGTAAAGTTCCATGTCTCCAGTAGTAAATATTAATAGAAGAGGATAATAAAAGTCAGTATTTAAGAATGTATTGCACTTACTGGATAATAAAATGACATACATCAAACTTTAATACAAACTTTGTTAGAAGAGTTTGCCATTACAGCATTTGGCAAATAATTTTAATAAAATCAAAAGAACCAGAAAAATTAAGTTTTCATCACTTCTGAAAATACCAGTTTTGAAAGTGTAATCACCATAACCAAATATCATATAATGCTTGGTACATTTATGTACACAGCTAACGATGTTGTGCTATGGGTCACACTTTGAGTAGCAAGGATCTAGAACAGCAGTTACACACTGTTGCAGGCATCAGATTCACCTGAGGTCTCGCTAAAATACAGATTGCTGGGCTCCGCCCCCAGTGATTTTTATTTGGTGGGTCTGGGTGGGAGGTGCCAGAATTTGCATGCCTAACAGTTGTCAGAGGATGATAATGTTGCTTGTCCAGAGATCAGACTTTGAGACTCTAGAGAATCCTCATTCCAATAAAATGATGTGAACTTTCCAGAATGAGAGAAGAGGCAGATCATCTTCAGGAGAACAATGATCAAATTGTCCTAAGTCCTTTTAACAGAAATACAAGATGCAGAAAACAGTGGATTTTTATATTTAAGTATTGAAATAAAAGACCTCAATCTAGAATGTTACATCTTTTCAAATGTCAAATAAATGCAAAAAGTATAGCACAAATATTCTCCTTGATTTGACACTCTGCTTGACTGTTATTAATATATACAAATGCTACTAAGTTGTGTACATTGATTTTGTAACCTGAGACTTTGCTGAATTTATTTATCAAATCCAGGAGTCTTTTGGTGAAATCCTTAGGGTTTTCTAGATACAAGATCATATCATCAGCAAACAGGATAGTTTGACCTCATCTTTCCCAATTTGGATGCCCTTTATTTTCTTCTCTTGCCTGATTGCTTTGGCTAGGACTTTCAATAATATGTCAAATAGAAATGGTGACAGTCGGCACCCTTGTCTTGTTCCAGTTCTTAGGGGGAATGCTTTCAACTTTTCCCCATTCAGTATGATGTTGGCTGTGGGTTTGTCATATACAGCTTTTATAATTTTGAAGTATGTTCCTTTTGTGCCTAGTTTGTTGAGGGTTTTTCTTGTGAAAGGATGCTGGATTTTATCAAATGCTTTTTCTGCACCTATTGAGATGATTATGCAGTCTTTGTTTTTGTTTCTGTTTATGTGGTGAATCACGTTTATTGATCTGCATGTTTTAAACCACACCTCGCAAAACCTGACATCGTAGGCTCAGGTGTGAAATTAGGATTAAAAAAATGTGTCTTTACCTGTCGTATCTTTAGATTTGTCTCTCCATCCAGATTAGATGTTGCTATATAACACATAGACTGAGGTTCACTAAATAAAATAAAACAAATAATACTGAATTAATATATCTTCATCAAATTATTTTCCTAATAATGGTAAGTATATGTGACCTACATCAATATACATTCTTCAAAATAGAAAGGACTACAGACAACTAGTTTGCCAGGAGATATTTAACAGTCTGATCTTACCAGCCTAAATTTCGCCTTGCAAAACAGCTCAGTAGAAAAGCTTCTACCCTTACATCCTGTGTGATTACTCTCTTCAGTCCCAAAAGAAAAAATGCTAAAGATGAATGGATGTTACATAGTTCAGAACTGTCATATCTGAGGTCAAATCTAAAACTCTGTTATCTTCTAAAACAGGTCCATTATAATTCCCAAAGGCCCAGGCTCTATGGCCTTTAGAATGAGGGTACATCTTCCAGGGTAAATGTGGACAGAGCAGAGGCCTTGTGACAAAAACTAAACTTGGGGTTTCTCTGCTTTTATCTAACCTCAACAGTTAGGGAATCAAGGCACTGAATTAACAAATATTTACCTTGCCAGATTTTCTTCCATGTTAAATGTCAAATCATTTATGAAAATAAATATCATTCTGAAGGGAAAGCCACAAAGAATAATAAAAATGGTCCATTAAAGTTTATTGAGTCTTAGACTCTGACTTATCTCTTTTGGTTGTATCTCATGCAGTGAAATATCAGGTTTAAAGTAAAATAATCTGTATTAATTTAACTAGTCAAGATCATATACCCCCAAATAGTAACTAATATATAATCTAATATTTAAAATGTAGCTTCATTGGGGATAGAGTGATAGAGTAAAAATCTCCAAACACCTTCTCTTCTATAAAAACAATGAGAAAATTGTCAAAAACGTTCAGAAAATTAACCAAAAGCTTAAAGAAACACAGGGAAATTTTATTTGAGAAAAATGGCCAAAACTTGGTAAAAACAATGGACTTTGTGATGTTTTAACTTGGCCTAGTTCCATTGCCTGCTTTCTAGCTTAGTGGTAACTTTGAAAAATAAAAACCCACATTCCTGGTACTGAGGGAGCTAAACGGAGCTTAAGTTCCTTCAAAGCCTCATTCCAAAAGAGCCACTATTTGATCTGTTTGATGGTCTCTAGAAGACTCCCCCTTGAAAGGTTCGTTCTTATTTGACCTCACTAGAGCTCACCCAGTGCTAAAAGCCTCTTCCTGATGCAAGGGGGTGGGATATGTTGAAAACTTTTACAGGAAAGTGTTTTAATACTGCAGCTGCCTCAGGTGATGGATAACAATTGGGGTAAACAATAGACTAACCAAGAAGTATAAAAGAAAAACCTGAAATGAGCAGCAACAAAAACAAACCTTGGAGAGCAGAGAGAATCTGATTTCCAGAGTTGCCACATTTATTACTTAAAATGTTCACTTTTCAACAAAAAGTCATTAGACATAAAAAGATGAAAAAGTAAGTATGGCCCATTCACAGGGGAAAAAAAGCAATCAATTAAAACTGTCCCTGATGAAGTCCAGACATGGGACTTACTAGACAAAACTTTAAATCAGACATTCTAAATATGTTCAAAGAGCTAAAAGGAACTATGTTGAAAGAAATAACATATAAGAACATGTCTCACCAAATAGAGAATATCAATAAAAAGATAGAGTTTATTTATATAAAAAAAAGAAGGAAACCAAATAGAAATTCTGAGGTTGAAAAGTTCAGTAACTGAAATGAAAAATTCACTAGAGAGGCTGAAGAGATTTTAGCAGGCAGGAGAAAGACTTAGTGGACTTGAAGATAGATCAATTGAAATAATCTAGTCTGAAAAACAGAAAGCAAAAAGAATTAAACAAATGAACAGTGTCTCAGAGACCTATGCGGCACAATCAGCATACCATCACATGCATTATGAGAGTCCCAGAGGAGAAGAGAGAGAGAAATGAGGAAGAAAGAATATGAAAAGAAATAATGGCCAAAAACTCCCCAAACTTGATGAAAAGCATTAATCTATACATCCAAGAGGCTCATTTAAATAGGACTCAAAGAGATACAAACCTAGACAAATCATAATCAAACTCTTGAAAGCCAAAGCCAAAAATATCTTGAATATAGCATGAAAGATGCTACTCATCACATCTAAGAGATGCTAGAGAAGATTAACAGCGAACTTCTCAGCAGAAGCCTTGGAGTAGAGAAGGCACCGGGATGACATATTCAAAGCACTAAAAGAAAAAATTGCCAACCAAAAATTGTATATCTAGTAAAACTGCCCTTCAAAAATGTAGTAGTAATTAAGACATAAATAAATAACAAATAAACAAAAACAGAAAGAGATTGTTGTTAGTAGATTTGCCATACAATAAATACTAAAAGAGAATTCTTCAGGCCGAAATGAAAGGTCACTAAACAATTCCTGAATACACACAAAGAAAATAAGGCTACCTGTAAATGTAGCCAGATAGGTAAATGAAAAGACAGCACATATGCATTTTTATTTGTAACTCCTTGTTTTCTCTCTCTGATTTAAAAGTCAAATGCATAAAGCAATAATTATAGATCTGTGTTGATGGGCACATGATGAATAAAAATGTAGTTTGTGATGATAATAATAGCAAAAAAGAGGGGAAGGAGAACAAAGCTATTTTGTAACAAAGTTTTTATATACTACAGAACTAAATTGATATGAATACAAACAAGACTGTTATAAATTAAGAGGCTAATGATAAGCCCCAAGGCAATTGCTAAGAACATAACTAAAAAATATACAGTAAAAAAAAAAAAAACCAAGAAATTAAAAATGATACCATAAAATATCTATTTAGGAAAAAATGAGGAATAACAGAGAAACTGAGGAATAAAAGGCACATAAGATATATATTTTTAAAATGGCACATATAAATTCTATCTTATCAGTAATTACATTAAATATAATTGAACTGTATTTCCCAATTAAAAGGTAGATAGTGGCAAAATGGATTTTTTAAAAATGCAATTTAATATATGCTGTCTACAAAAAACTCACTTCTGATTCAAAGATACAAATAGGTTGAAATTAAAAGGATGGAAAAAGATATGCCATGCAAATAATAACCAAGAGAGCTATTGTGGCTATACTAATCTCAGACAAAACAGACTTTAAGAGAAATTTGGTACTGGAGAGGAAGAATATTTTAAAATGACAAAAGAGCCAACCCATCAAGAAGATATAATAGCTAGAAACATATACACTGAACAACAGAGGCCAAAATACATGATGCAAAACCCCACAGAATTGAAGGGATAGACAGTTCAGCAATAATAGTTGGGGACTTCAATACTCTGCTTCCAGTAACAGATAGAACAACTAGGCAGAAGATCAACATGGAAATGGAAGATTTGAACAACACTGTACACAAACTAGATCTAACAGACACATATAGAACATTCCACCACACAACCACAGAACACACATTCTTCTCAAGTTCACATGGAACATTCTCCAGGATTGACCATATGCCAGCCATACAGCAAGTCTCAATAAATTTAAAGGATGAAATCATACAAAGTATATTCTCTGATCACAATGGAAATAAGTCAACCAATAGTCTAATGGAAAATTGAAAGGAAATCAAAACAGGTGAAAAAGAAATCAAAAGAAATAGTAGAAAAATCTTTGAGGTGATGAAAGCAAAACATAACATAACAAACATATGGGATGCAGCTAACAGTGTTTAGAATTAAATGTACAGCTGTAAATACCTACATTAAAAAAAGGGAAAAAGAAAAAGAAAGATCTCAAATCAATTATCTAACCTTCCACCTTAAGAAACTAGAAAAAGAAATTATTCTGGATTCATTTATAAATGAAATCTTCAAGCATGCAGAATACAAGAGGGGATACAGGTATATGTATTATATGTATTTGCCTGTACAAACATAAACATCTCTGGAAATTCTGTATATACAGGAACATAACTGCATTGATTGTCTGATGGCAGTGAAATAGAGGAGAGAAGGCGATGTCACTGGATGTCCTTTCATACGTTTTAAAATTTGAAATATTTGTGTGAATTAGCTAAAACATTAAAATTTTTAAAGGCCTGTAATATTCCTTTACCAAATTAGAAATATTATATTTATTTAACATACTCAGAATCACAGTCATTTTACTATTATTTTATCCATGGCTAAAGCAGCTAAGAACCATGTACTAGTATTTCTACTTTCAAAGCATATTCTCATTTTTCTTTTTCATCATTCTTTTTACAACCACCATGTAAAAAGATAATGCAAAATTTTTTCTTTTTTTCTAAGAGATGAAAGAACCAAGAACACAAATTGAAAATATCTAGTCCAAGTGGTAAAGCTTGTTCACATACCCCAGATTTTTCCCTTAGACCAATGGTCCTGATTTTTTATAATATTGACTCTAAATTTGATTATGATATATGCAACTCTGCAGCCAATAAAGATGGTACTTACTTTGAAAATGTTTCTAGTAATAGAAGATCATAATTTTCCCAAAAAAAGCAAATTCTAGTAAATATATATATATCTTATAAATTCGAAAAAGAAAACTAAAAAAAAATAATTTATGAGTAAAATATATTGTACCCACAAGAGTTTATAGAATGAATTTTATTTTTAAGAATGATAACAAAATGAATATTTATTTTTATATATTACAGGTTAAGAAATCTATATACAGTACCTAAAAGGCCTTTTTAATTTTTCTTTCTCTCTCCCAAAAATAACAATCATGTTAATACTTTTGATATTCATTCCTTTGATTTTCTCTGTACTTTCATTACATTTGTACGTATCACTAAGCAACGTATTGATTAGTTTTTGGGCCCACAGGCCAAATACAGCCCCTGCCTGCTTTACATAAATAAAGTTATTTTGGAACACAGCCATACTCGTTCATTTACTCATTGCCTACACTGCTTCTGTCATTATAGAGGCTGAGTTGAACAGGTGCAAGAGAAACCGTGTGGCCCCCAAAGCTGAGCAGAGTTACTCTCTGTCCCTGTATGGGAAAGTTTACAGCCACGGGTCTGTACTAAGGTGAAAAGAGCGAGGGAGAGAAAAGTGCTTTCTGCCTTTTTTGGTTTTCTGAAATTTCCAGTTCAGGATAAAAGTTCCTTACATGTCCACTAACATAACTAACCTGGAAGAAATCAGGACCAGGTCTGCAGGAAGGAACTCCCTGTTCAAGGCCTTCACAATGTCGCCCACATTTACCTTTTAAACCAGGAGAGAGAAGATGGAAGCATGAATTTTAAAGGCACAAACAGAGCCAAAATGTGTCAACTGTTCTCAAGAAAAATTACAATGTGAAATATTTCTAGCCATCCTAATGAATTTCAGCTACGTTAGAACGATTTTATTTCCTGAGGGATCCATTCCTCTAAAACGCTTGTCCTTGACCAGAGGTGATTTTGCTCTCCCTATCCACCCGGGACATTTGGCAATGCCTGGAGACGTTTTTTCTTGTCACAACCATGAGGCAGTGGGGATGAGACTACTGGAATCTACTGGGTAGAGGCCAGGGATGCTGCTAAACACCCTACAATGCACAGGACAGCCCCTATAGCAGAGAATGTTCTGAAGTCAACAGTGCTGCAGTTGGCAGATCTTGCTCTAGGATGGAACATTTCAACATGGGGAAAGAGGTGCACAAGGAGAGGGATCCCCACTGGCAGTGCTGTCTTTGCAAGGACGTGGTATTCATACACTTCCACAACTGCAATCGCTTGCGTAATGGTCCCGGCTCTGCTGCTCTGTGAGAGCAGAGAAAATGCCCGTGTCGCTCCCAGGTGAATTCCCGGAGCTTGGCACAGGGCTCTGTAGCAAGCACGGAATGTACGAATGAATGACTGAAGGTATAGACGAATTCCAATTTGTCAATAAGAGGGAGAAACGTAAACACTTGGTGCAGTACACAGGGAAAGCATCATGAGCTCTCGATGTTTTCTTCTTGTGTACTTATTCTTTAACAAACCGCTGGTGCTTTCATGCTGTGCCAAGCACCGATGACATAACTCTTAAAGTAGCAGCCCCTTCCCAGGCAGCTAGAACAGCAGGGGCACAAGATTCTTTCCTAAACCAATTTCTAGACCTATATGGAAAAAGCAATAGTAATTACATCTTGCCGAGGAGACAAAGAACAAGGAGACTGGATTTTTCATATAATTAAACATATCGTTCCTATCTTAATTATTAATAATTGAGCCAGATTAATTAAATACTCAGATCAACATGAGAACCTTAAAATCTGCAATGTGTCTTTAAAAATGCAGAGGACAAGTTCAACATTAGAGGAGAGAAAAAGACTGACAATAAAACACTCACACCTTATACATGGTTCTCAATGCCATGGCTAATAAAGCATTTATAACTTACATAAGCAACTAACTTGCAGCAAGATCCAAAAAAGGCTATAATAAGACAAGTTGGCACAGTGCAATTAAAACAATATTGATGTAGAAAAGTAGGTGCCTGAGGGCCTGAAAGCAGACCTGTTGAGGGGCAGTCATCACCACATCTCCTAAAAACGCTCTTTTTCGTCTCTGCCCACAGCAGCCCCAACTTAATTCCGTTTTCCTTTTTTAAGCTCCTCGTGTTCAAACTGCTCAGTTTGATTGTACCACGCAGGTGGGACAGAAAGGACACAGAAGGACAAGAATTGGGAGCCCCCGGCTTTGGCTGCTTAACTTGTTCTGCCAGTGCAAGGCACTGGGGATAAAAAGGGCTCAAGCGCAGGGCCACTTTCTGCTCAGCAGGAAGCCCACCGCTGCAGCCTCGCTTGCTCCTCTCCCTCTCCCTGCCTCCACGCACGGGTCCAGCTCCCCGAGGCTCTGCCATTGGACATGGGGGCTACCTCTCAATGGCTTCTTACTCTGAGTCCCAGTGAGAGGAGCAAAGTACAATCATTTTTTGAGTCAATTGCTTTTGTCTCAATTAGGGAAAGAAATATTGATGACACTTAGAAACGAAACATTCTCAGAGTTAGCGCTCCAAGAATTTGACATACGTCATCAATTATTAATTGATGAGGACAAAGTCAGTATCTAGGCCCAGACACATTCAGTGTGGCTCTAAGTTATATCCTGCTGTAATCTGAACGTGTCCCTCACGATTTGTGTGTTTAACTACTAACCCCCGAGATGATAGTGTTAGGAGGTAGGGCCTTTGGGAGATGATTAAGCCAGGAGGGTGGAGCCATCACGAGTGGGATTAGTGTCCTTACAAAGGAAGCCCCGGGGAATGGCCTTGTCCCTTCCACCTTGTGAGGACACAGCACGAAAGCACCATCTGTGGGGATGTGGGCCCTCACAAGACACTGCTGAACCTTAATCTTGATCTTGGACTTGCTAGCCTCCAGAACTGTGACGAATAAATTTCTGTTGTTTATAAGTTACGTAGTCCAAGGTATTTTTTTATAGCAGCTCAAATGCACTGAGACATATTCCAAGGGCAAATATTCATTACGACATTCCTCGACATATACACTATATAGAGATGAACTTGAACCCTGGGCAACCATTTATGAAACACTATCTTTAAATATTCTACACAATGACAGAGAGATAACGCCAAGGTACACTGGAGAACGGGTAGACTTCCAACCAGACTGACTGGAGTTCAAATCCCATTTTCACCCTTACTAGCTGTGTGACCTTGAGCAAGATACTTCTTCTCTTTGATCCTCCACTTCCTCATCTACAAAATGGAGATAATACTACAGTTCTTGAAGGTGTATTTCACAGATAAAAATCTGTAACTTTGAGTACAAGGTAGGTGCTTATTACTGAGTTAACAGTTCAAATACATTCTTACCTCTTTCCATGTAATCACCCGCCATGAATTCTGTCTTAACACTGAAAAAGAAATAGCTATGCATTAATTATAATTATTGCACCAGGTAGAAGTTCAAAATAGTAAAAGATACCCTTTACTAAATAGATTGCAAAAACTAAATAGATTTCTTTATGAAATGTTGTCTTTGTTAATTTAATTTTTGTATACACTGTAGGAATATGTAAATTGTGTTCATATGCATTTACTAAAATGGAGCAATATATATAACATAATGTAATATAACATAATATAATGACAGATAGACAACTAGAGGCTATATTAATATATTATCTTGTTTATCAGGTTAATAGCCTGAAAAGATAATCTATTTCTAATCAGTTACCAATATAGCACATATCAAAACTAGGGCTGGAAGAGAATATGTAACACCCAGATCTTTTTATGGACAAAATTGCTCATATACTGACTATTCCATCCCTCCCATATTTTTTCTTTTCTTTTATTATGATTAACATAATTGCTGATTCCAATATTTGAAAACTGTTTTTCCTTCTGAGTTTTATTTTTTATTTCTATATTTCTTTAAATATTTCACAAAATATTTGTCTTTATTACAATAAAACATATTACATGTACCTACCTGGTGAATTGGATATTTTCTCATAGTGAAGGGGAATAAAAGCTCAATCTTATATCTCAGCTATATTAGTCGGGGTTCTCCAGAGAAACAGAACCAATAGGATGTGTTTGCAGAAAGAGAAGGAGATTTATTATAAGGAATTAGCTCATGCAATTATGAAGGCTTGAAGGTCCCAAAATCTGCAGAGTGAGTCAGCAAGCTGGAGAACCAGGAGGGTCGATGGTATAGTTCCAGTCTGAAGGTTGGTAGGCTTCACACCCAGGAAAGGTTAATCTTTTCAGACCGAGGTGGAAAGGCTGATACCACTGTGGGTGGAGACGCTGCTTCCACTGGCAAAGAAGACCCGTCACAATTTAGGAGCTCAGTGTCCCCAACTTCATCAAGGTCTTTCCGCATATCCCCATCCCAACCCTGGGGATCCCAGTCCTTCCCAGTCAGTGTTCTCACTTTAACAGCAGACACCCTGTAGCTGCAAGTCCAATTTGTGTTGCAATTCAGCCAGTTGCAGGATGAGATTCTGGGTTTGATTGTGAGCGATCTCAGCCCCGTGGCTGCAGGAGACCAGGGTCTCCTTCAAGACACACATAAAAGCTTTCATGGTGCTTTAGCTGTGAATTCAAATCCCTGACTTCTTCCTTTTATTTCTCTACTTTGTGTGGTGACAGTAGGAGCAAACAGTCAACCTCTTTAAACTCACTAGTTTGACAAAAATGGTTAGAAGTATCATACACACAGGCACCCAGATCCTCACTTCTTATAAGTGGTCGATTAGGATTATCTAATGGTGATATTTTGCATATCTGTGTTGCTAGATCACTCATGGACTGTCAGTGCTCTCTTCACTACTGGATATATATACAGAGAGAGAGATTATGAGGAATAAGGAGTTGGCTCACGTGATTACAGACTACAGTCCCAAGATATGCAGACAGTGGCAAGCTGGAGACCGGGAGAGGCAATGGTGTAGCTCCAAGCCAAAGGCCACAGGCTTGAGACCCAGGAAGAACAGACGCTTCAGGTCCAGTCCAAAAGCAGGTAACAGCCAATGTCCCAGTTTGAGGACCAGCAGGCAGGAAGAATTCTCCTTACTCAGGGCATAGTCAGCCCTTTTGGTCTATTCAGACCTTCAACTGGTTGGATGAAACCCACTCAAATTGTGGAGGGTGATTTTCTTCATTCAGTCTATGCATTTAAATGTTAATCTCACCCAGAAACACTCTCACAGAAACACCCAGAATAATGTTTGACCAAATATCTGAGCACCCTGAAGCTCACTCAAGTTGACACACAAAATTTACCATCACACTTACCTATTATGTTCTTTTCGTTGACTATTTTATCTGCCATATGTCGTTTCTGTTACAGGAGAAAAAAATTCATTACATCCAAAGTTCAAAATGAATGATTCAATTCATAATACAAGACATAGCAGTTTTAAGAAAGAATAGAGGCAGCCGATGTAATTGCAAAGTCCTCTTTGGCTGTAATTGACTTCAGTTTCATTTTGTCCTCAAGTGACTCCCTCAGTTGAGATGTGACCCATGGGAGGGAGTATGGCAAAGTGGTGAAGTGTGTGGACTCTGGAGCCAGCTTGCCTTGGTTGGCATCCCAGCTAACGCAAATTCTTTGGTCATGAACCCATCTGTGCCTCCATTTAAATGAGTATAAATACACACGCAGAAAGGGGCGGGGAGAGAACGAGAGGGAGATACAGGGAGAGAGATGCACAGTACAATGTGCCTGGTGCATAGTAAGTACTACGTGAAATGTTAGCATATTATTTTTTACTTATAATGACCATATTGGGTTGAACATATAATTAGCAATTCTGGATTTTGCCCCGACTTAACCTAAGATTTTTGATCAAGTTTGAAAAATTCTTTCACAGGATAAGCCAACCCAAAGGACAACTGAATAGATCTTACTGGTGTCCTATCTTTATAGGATGTAGGAATCAGAGAGAAGCATGTCAATGACAACAGCTAGCAATTCTGGAAAATGAGCATTAGGACTGTGAGTGCAGAGGAAGCAGAAAACAGTATTAAATATCTCCCTGTACCCGTGAAAAGGCTAAAAATGAAATGAAAATGCAGCAAAATTCATGTGAACATTCCTTTCAGCCATTTAAGACTTTCACCTAAAATTGGATTATATCCCCACAGACACTATCATAATTCTTATGACAGCTATGAAGTCCTGTTAATCTCTCAAATATAGAAACCAAAGAGTATATAATTTAAAATTCGAAGCCTCAAAACTTTAATTGACTCTTCACACCAACTATGCCAGTTCCAACCAACTGCCTGACAAAAACGGCAATAAACAATACCTTTATAATTTGAGAGCATTTCATTCTTTAACAGTAAACTTACGTAATCTTCCACAATCTCTTTGATGCCTGAAATTATAAGAATAATCATCAAAGGCAAGAGAGTTGTATATTTTCCTGTCGGAGACACATCTGGAATTTGCTGCAAAGCAATCAGAGTTACACTGTCAATTTTATGATACATCCCTGTTATGTTTTGCTTACGCTCAAAGTCACACTAGTGGCACGGCCTGGGACATGGAGACCGCAGGCACATTAAACAGAAAGGGGAAGGAAGCTCTTAGCATGTCAAGGCCACCCACTGAGGGTGACACTAAATGCCACGTTATGGAAAAGTTGCCAGCGCCACTGCTTAACCACACCTCAGTCATCCATCACCTTCCCCCACAGGACACTTTTATCATGTCTTGAAAGGAATAGTTCAAAATCTAAATGTTAATTTATAATAGCATCTTTTCAGAGCAGAGAAACCCAGACGGCCTGGTATCTTAGCCTTATTTCCTTGTGGGCAGAGGAGGAATGTTCTGGAGGCCCAGGACAATATTGTTTCCTAGGCACAGATTAATTATGGGCTGTGCTCTGGGGCTGCGGTCCCCAACTCCCGGCCGTGGACCTGTCCGGTCCGGCCTGGTGGGGACGGGGCCCCAGAGCTGCAGCCCCCCACCCCCGTCTGTGGGAAAACCGTCTTACGTGAAACCAGTCCCTGGTGCTAGAAAGGCTGGGGCCCGCTGCTGCCTCTGCGTGCAAGACGGGAAGGAAAGCGACCGACACGGGCGCAGCAACGGGCACAGCAACGCTGGGGCAGTTCTCAGGCCTGTTTCCAGATGTGGCCCGTGTGCGCCCTCCGTGCTGCCTCGTCGTCTCTGCTTGTTATTACTATTTCTGTGCACAATGCAGCAAAAGAGAGTCGATCTGAAGCTCCTGACAGTTCTTCTAACAACTGTAAAGGGAATCTGAGTGATGGAGGGAGGAAACGAGGGCATTTTAGGACTCCGCCTTGGAGACATCCCTTGTTTCTCTCCCCTCCTCTCCTCCGCGCGGCGCCTCCCTGCCTTTTCCTCATCTGAGACTAACCAGAGCCGTCCGCGCCGCCGTGCCCCTCGCGACTGCCTCCGCCCGCTCGCCGGCGGTGACGAAGTCGAGCTTCTGGGGGCGACACACCACCCTCCTTTTAACCCGGCCTCGGCTGATGCCTTTAGCTTCTTTCGTACTCTACCCTCTGCGCCCCAAACCAAATTTCTACTGTTTCGGGAACACTCCACATACCAGATGAAAATGTAGGTAACACATTTATGTGCTTCACAATTCGAAATATATAAAAGGGCCGGCAGTGGAAATGCTACCTTTCCCCATCCCCACGGCTCCTGATCCTCCTCAGAAAGGCGGCGCTGTTTCCAGCGTCCACGCTGTCCCCTGTGCCCCAGGCCGGCCTTGGCACCGACTGTTATGTTCCTCCTCCTCTGATGTTTGGCCCAAATGTCACCTCTTTCCAGTAGCTTTTCCTGAACCACTTACCCCAAGTCAGAAGCAGGCCCTGTTCCTCCAGCGCTTTATAAACACTCGATGCCTTAAAATACTCATGTATTAGACTCTGAGCCCTACAGGGGCGGGCGCCAAGTCTAGCCCTTCATTCATCCTTAAATGGTTTTGACACATGCCATGTGTCCTCTATAAATGTTTACTGAAGCCAATTCTTCTGTTTAAGGTCAATTCAACAAGTTTATTCAGTTCTTATCCCAAAGCCTAGCAGTTTCTAAGACACTATTTCTGCTCTCAAAGAATTCATGGCTTGCTGGGAGAAATAAAACCAGTTATTACATGTTAGCACAAATCACTGTTGGAGACGTTTGCAGTAGAAGGGAGAAATTAGTGTGGACTGCGGCATTTGGTGAAGTTTGGAGTAGGATGGCTTTGAGCCGGGCTTTTAAGAGAATGGGCAGGATATAGCCACATAAGTGCCTTCTAGGTTTAGGTGATAGTGTGTGCCAAGGTCTGGAAATATGAAGAAAACTGGGGAATTGGGAGAAGACTTACCTGGTTGGATCGTGGGATTCATGCTAGAAATGAAGTTGAATAAACAGGGATAAACCAGACTATGGAAAGCCTTGAATTTAACTGTTTTGAAAGGATGCTATTTTAGACTAGTATTTGGATTTCCTTTAAATTAAATTATTCCTTTCAAAACATAATAAAATTATTCTGTTATGGAGGTGGCATGGATGACCAAAGTTTCTCCAATAATATCTCATTAAAGGTCTCAGTTAGGATGAACTGTGGGCCAATTCATCTGTTATGCAGCCACAGGTTTTTCATGCCCAAAATAGAGCTTCAATGTCTCACTTAATGATTTAAATATTGTGAGAAGAGAGTTCTGTTCTTACAGTATTCAAATCTGTTTTCTGCATCAAACTCTTATTTCAGCTAAATGAGCTTTTAACAAGTGTTTTTTAGACTAAGAATCTCAATCTAATAACATGTTCAAAAATATTACCTCCAATATAGCAATGACCAAAAAGAAAGCATTGGCAGGTTTGGTAAACTGCAGACACAAAAATCGCGGGAGGAATGACAACAAGCTGTACTTGGTTGTGCTGCGGGTGAAAAGAGAAATACCGTTGTTAGGCGATACTCTGAACACCAAAACCAGTAACGGAAAACATGAAACAGGGATTAAAAATAAAACCTGGTTATAAAACACTAATCCTTTGCTAAAAGATATTTTGCCCTTTTATAAAGCACTCACTGTTAACAGAAAACAATTCCAGAACAAAAGAAGAATAATTCTCCCCATTTCAGGAACTAAGTGCTATGAGCATAGCAGACAAGGAGAGAGGCGTGTCGTCTGAGCACGTCCAAAGGGAAAGATGAAGAGGAACCCTCCCTTTGATTTCACTAATGATTGAGATTATTTGCTCATTTATTCACTCAGCAAATATTTCTTGAGTTGTCACTGTGTGCCAGGCACGATTCTGGGTGCTTGAAACATACCAGAGAAAACACAAAGCTCCCTGCCTTTCCGGGCTTACAACCTGATGGAGAAGACAGTGATACACACGATAAAAAGTTAGGTACACGTGTATGCTCAGGTGACAAGCAAGACTCGTCCCACACTTCCTAAGGGCTTGTCCTGCTTACGATAAAACTCCTAGTGAACCTCTGTCTTCGGTTTCAGGAGTAACAACAGACTTTGATTCTTCTCCTTTCTCCCTTTCACGGGTTTTTTTATCATTAACAGTGAAAGAGTGAATGACCCAAAGGACACATTTAACACACAGGCTACGTGGGAGCAACACGGCTGGTTTATTCACCCGGGTGCAGGTGGGCTGAGTCTGAAAAGAGTCAGCACAGAAGGGGGTTTAGTGAGGGTTTTTATAACCAGGGAAAGCCGACCTGCCCTGTTCAGTTCTTTGTTCCTGGGCCAAACTGGCAGGTGAAGAATTGCTTCCTGCTACGTGCAGCAGAGGACGGTGGACAGAACAGCTGTTTGTAGTAAATTCTTCTTCAAACGACCAACTCCCACGACCCCTTTGCCCCAGTCGCATCCATCCTTCTGCTCTGGCATCCTCCTTATCAGGAGAGCTGGGGAGGGACAGCCTTCGTCTCTATCAGGGAGGGAGGGGGAAGAATGCTGGCTGCGGCTGTCGGTTAGATCTACAAAGTCCGGGGACTCCCCAGACTCCTGTAGCTGTTGTTTTACAAGCCTAAGTTTTGCATTAACCACATTCTGTCCTATACATACATTTCGGGTTCCCACCTGGAACAAATCTAACAAAAAGTTGTCTTAAATCCATCTGCACCCGAATGTCTAGGAGACAATCTCCTTGAGTACGTTTCTTTTTTTCTAATCGATCTGCTTTGCTTAATAAGTTTCTGGTTTAAAAATCAGAAAGACTAAAATCAAAACTGCATGTGTTCCAAATTAGCCTAGAGAAGTGGGAGGATGGGGCGACAGTACAGAACAGGGTTTGGGATGCGCTCTACAACGTCGCAGGGCTTAGGCAGACGTACAGAGAGTAAACAAGCTGTATTGGGGTAAATCATGAGGATCATTAAGAGAAGGCCCGGGTCCTTGACCCAAGCCAGAGCCCGGCGCTGCTGCAGGTCAGGTGGTGGGTCTGAGGGGCCCCTGCCCACTGTCGCTCCCGTTCTGAGAGGAAAGGGTGGGCGCAATCTTGCCAGTAAGGGAATAGGCAGAAAGCCAGGCCCAGGAGTAGGGGCTCGGGTGTCGTCTGTTCCCATGGGTCACGTGGGAAAGCCAGCTGCCCAGCACCAGGCACCTCAGAGAGGGGCTTTGGGTGTAGCCCCTCCAGCCTGAAGGGGTGGGGTGGCAGAGGGGGTTTCCACAGGCGTGGGTACCGCTTAGACACTTGGAGTGAGCTCCTGGCTCACTCTCAACAATTCTGCTCATCGTACCACTAAAACAACGAGAAAGCATGAAAGCTGTTTTAAAAGAGAGGGAGACAGAACACAAAATGACAGAATCTTGGCCGAACATACATTATAGATAATAAATATAAGTGGCTAAAAAAAAAAACCTAAATGAGTCAAAACACAAAACCCAACTTAAAAGAAATATTCCTACAAAATGTCTGAGAAAAATTCTAAATAAAAAGTTACCCAAATGTTTAAGAGGCAAATTAGAAAGAGAGGGAAAATCAAGTGGGAAGAGTTTGGAATATTAAGAATATAAGGCAAAGTTGAATTCAAACTAAAAAGCACTAAGCAGAGAAAGAGGACCACTTCATAAAGATTAAGAGGACGACCCACAGCGGAGATACAAGTTCTACGAACCATTATGCCTCAATTAACATGACACTGGACTACAGATGTTTTACAGCTGCAGGAAACATAACAGAAGGCATTGACAGACATGTGATAGTGAAGAATATTGACATAATTCTCTCAGTCCTTGCCCAGATAAAAAGATACTGAAAATGTGGTTACTAGAGTTGAGATCTTACACATGTATCAGTTGTGAGAGACGTGTGCATATTATTGTGAGATATCAAACTCTGGACCCTTAATAGAGAAGCATATACATTTTTCAAGTTTGGAACAGTTATAACAATTAACCGGATTTAAAAAACACAAATTTTCAAACAATAGAAATAATCCATATTTCTCTGACCGCAATAAATTAAACTGAACTATAATAAGTAACTGAAATATAAACAAAAAGAAAATAAAAGCTACTTAAGTATCAGATTTTTTTTTTTTTTTAGGAACTTGGATAAAAAATAAAAAATCAGACTACCAATTACTGCACTTCCAGTGTGAAAAAAAAGACACGTCAGTAGACCCTCATTAAGTCTTCAAATACACCGAAGTGACAGATGGGAATTTATATAACACAAGAAAGACATTACAAACCAACTGGGGTGAAATGAGTGGTCAACCAATCGGAACATAAATTCAGCTGGTGTCTACCTCATTCCTTACAGCAAAATAAATTCCACTCGGTTGAAAAATTTCAAGTAAAAACAAAAAAGATTGCCTAGGGCCGTTGGGGGTTGGTGTTGGGGGACCGGGGAGCAACATTAATGGGTATGGAGTTTTTGTGGCGTGATGAAAATGTTCTAAAATTGGTTGTGGTTATGGTTGTACAACTCTGACAATATATTAAAAACCATCAAATTGTACCATTTAAATTGAGCAAATTAAATAATATGTGAATTTTACCTCAATAAAGCTGTTATAAACAAATTAATAAAATTTTTAAAATAAAGCATTCAAATATTAGACTAAAACATGAATAACTATGTGTAATCTTGGAATAGAGAATTCCATTTTAAACTCTGCAAGGAAACCAGAAGTCACAATGGCAATGAGTGAAATTTGACTGCATAAAAATATAAAAGTTCTGTTAGGAAAGAAATACGAATAACCAACTGGGGAAAAAATATTTGTAGCACACATGAAAAAGGAGTTAATATCTCTAGTGTGCAAAGAGTACCAGACTTACTTAAACTAGTCAGTCCTAAACTGTGCACCCTGCCCTGCCCTGCCTTTCCCACGGAAACCCCAAGAAAGACTGTGGCCTAAGCTCTCTTCCTGCTCCTGTCTTCCACCTCCTGACCAAAAACCTGGCACTTCCCTGGTGACCCTGCATGGTACGTGGTGACCCCTCTCTAAGACTTGTGAATACGATAAGCTTTTTTGCCTGAGCCTCTTGTATTTCCTCTTGTGGTGGTACCTGACTGCCGGGAACGTGGCCAGCGTTCCCTGCAAAAAACCAGGTCCCTTTGGTAGAGTTGCAAGGGATAAGAAAATAATAGAGAAAAATGGAAAATGGAAGAAATAAAAGAATACACTGAGACAAAGATATAGTTTTATAAGTTTATAAAGATTATAGGCAAAGCGGTAGCTCAGGGGGCTTAGACCTCTCCATGGGTCTCAAAAAGCCCCGAATGAGGTCTTACATGGTAACTTATAGGAAATAGTGAATAATTGCCAGGGGTAACAGATTTACATAACAGCAGGTAGTTCCTCTCAGGTTAACAGATTTTTAAAAGGCTTTTACAGAAGGCTTCTACAGATTCTTTAACTAATTCTATTTACGTGAGCAAACAGTTACAAAGTCTTTCAAAGGTTAATTTCTAAATTCTAAGGTAAGTTTATCATTTAAACAGAGGGATTAAACAGAGATATGTAGGCTCCATGTTTATTAGGTTATTGTGAATGGAGACAGGTAGTCTAGAGTGGTTTAAACAAAAGCTTTGCTTTTAGCCATTTGGGAAGCTGTTTGTTCCGGAGGGCACTCCATTGTCAGCTCTCAGCCTATAGTTTTTAACAGATTCACTTTTGCTTTACAAAGCAAATCCAAACCTTTAGGTCTGAGAAACGTGGCGCCTCGTGGGATACAGCCGCTACTGCCTTTCAGAGACACCCTTCCGAGTGTAACAGCATTCGAAATGCAAACCAACACGTTCACATATTCCTTCAGGGCAAAGCTCTGAAAAACTCCTAAGACAAATCCTGTCCCCAAACACGTGTGATATTAATTCATAGAGCAACACCTGACTGACCATCTCATAAAAGAACACAGAATACCGCATCAGGGCAGAACTACTGTCGAAATAAAACCTCCCCATCAAAGCACGTTTTTCCTCATTGGAAGAAGAGGTATTTGCTTCCAGTGAGGAGTTCGGCTTCTCTCCAAAGCCTACTGGCTCCAATTATTCTTAATTTGTCTTAAAATTTTATTTCGGTGAAACCAAATATTAGTATGAGACAACGTTAAACAAAATAAGATGAAATTCCATAGAAGTTATGATATAACTCTGCAAATATACTTTTAGAATGAAGAGCTATTTTAAGACTTGTCAAAGAGAGCAAGGCAGTTCATGTTTCACACTTGACTATAATATTGACAACGTCCCTATGACATGTGGATTTTTTTTAAATATTTATTGATCAGCCAACTTTTAAGTATTTTTTATTGTGGAAACTTTCTCATAGATACAGAGATGGAAAGACTGGAAAGATAATGAACCTCCACACTTATCCCAGCTTCAACAGCTATCAGCTTGCGGCCAGCTTTGTTCTGTCCAGACTGCCCACTTCTCTACCACAGCCCTGCATTATTTGAAACAAACCCCACATATCATGTGATTTCATCAGTGAGTACTTCAGAATAAATTAGATGGATAATTTTAAAACTAGCCTTTCATACATATTTAGCCTATGCAAAAGTATTTACATCTTAGAAAGAAGATATTGGTAAATTCCCTAAATAAATTTCAAAAAGAAAGGGCACGAGACTAACTCTGTCCAGGGACCTGGTTCACTCCACTAACTCTGGAACCTGGATTGGAGCCCTCTACCTCTCAACACCTCTACTTCTTGTTTATTCTGTTCTGGATAATCTGAGATCCCTCCTGGACCTAAATTTCCCTGACTGTACCTAAAATTTATTGTTATACTTAAGAATCTACTAGCATCTGTAACTAGAGATATTGGGTACTAATGTGGAAAGAAAATGGAGTTTGCAATCAAAGAGGCTGGGTTTTATTCTGACTCTGACTCTTAGTGGCCAGGTGACCAAGGGAAAATCATACACTTTTTCCTGCTTTGGTTTCATCTACTATAAAATGAGTTAATCATGTCTCTCACGGTTTAGGAAAAATAGTACAAAAAGAGCTAGAGTAGTTGTGACAAAAATGGGATACTCCAAATAATTCACTGGGAAAAATACTAAAAATTCTATTTAGTATTTGTATATTTTAATCTGAAAGAAAAGCAATTAAGACAAATTAATATTTAACATACACGTTGACTGGCCCTCACTTGTTCTGTATATTGTGTAATTAGGCATGGATTTCTTTCTCCTTACCATGCTTGAGATTTATTACGGTCCCTGAATTTTAAGATTCACATCTCCCCTTTGTTCTGGAAAAACTTTGGCCATTGTTTCTTTGAATAATGTCTGTCCCATTCGCTCTATTCTCTCATTTTGATACTTTGTTCGATACAGACAAGAGCTGCTAAATCTGTCATTCGTGTTTCTGAACCACTCCTTAATATTTTCCAATTCTTCACCTTTCTATGTTGTGTCAGGAGGATTTTCTCGTACCTATTTTATAGTACATGAAGTCTGCCTTTGGTTGTGTCTCATCCCACCCTCTTTTTACCCCATGCACTGAGATTTTTTAACAGTTTACCAATTTTGATTTCTGGGCTCTATATGTTCCTGTTCCAAATCTACTGGGGTCTTTTAAAAAAATAGTCTTTTGGTCTTCATTCATATTTTCGATATCCTCTTTTATTCCTTTAAACATACTACACAATCATGTGCAGTAGAAAACACTCTTATTTTATATTCTCTACCTGATAATTCTTCTACCTAAAGTCTTTTAAAAGTCTGATTCTGCTTGCTATGATTTATTTTTTTCATTCTTTCTGCTGCCTCTCACTAACGACATCTTGTTTTCTCATGCGTTGGCAGTTTTTTAGCTCAGGTTTGCTCAAACTTCATCTCTGAGAGACCGTTAGGGCCTTAGCATCCCCCAGACACTGTCTGCCTTTGCTCCTGCCACGTGCCCAGGGATGCTTGCAATCCGGCATCATCTAAAACTGTATTTTAAGCTTGAGTTTTTCTGGATCACACAGATATCAATATCAACCACAGAAAAATGGTCAGTGTATATTAATTATTATCAATATTTTTTTTGCCTAAACTCAGAACCAAGTTTAAGAGTCCTTAAGTTTCCTCACTATATCCCTTTTGCAAGGCAGAGTTTCAGTTTTTTTCTCCCTCCACTTGGGATGTAGACCCCCAGAGTCCTGGGTTTACAAGGGCGGGTCGCCAACTCCCATTCCACGCTGTGTGGCTAGGGGCATCACTGCTCTGCCACAGCTGAGCCTTACAACCGGAACTCCCGGTCACCTGCGCTGTGCAGAGTCCCCCAAGAAGCCACCCATTTAATATCCCCACCCCCTCGGATTTCTGCTTTGCCTTCATTTGTTGGCCTCCACGAATGCCTCCCTTTTCTTGTCATGTGAATGATGCATTTTTTTAAGCTATATGATTAGTTCATAATAAAAAGCTTAAAGACTGCAGAGCTAGTGCATCCAAACCCTGGTCTTTGTGCCTGGTTGGAAAAAGAAAAGTAGGCACTCAAAAAGTATTAATAGTTTTCTTTCAAGCTTTCATCTCACTCTACCTCTGAAGTAAGGACTCAGCTCAGCGGATTCCACAGGAAACAACTCTTCAGAAGCCTAATGCTCAATCCCCCAGTATGGTCTGGGGGTGGGGAGCCCAGCAGATCTGTGAGGTTCCCTTGGGAAGCACTTTCGCTCCTATTCGTAGGTGTTGCTAAAGGGAGCTAATCGGCAGTGGGCTGCGTGGTGACAGCTGTGGCCAGGAACAAGCGAGAGCAGAGGCCATTCACAGAGAGGGGCCTTAAAGTCAAGAAGACAAATCCCCGCTAAGTGAGCATGAGGATTTAAAGTTTCTGGAGGTTTGAGAAAACTACTGCATCCTGAAGCACAGACTCACACAATGTATCCATACAAGGTACCCTTTTTACAGGGGAAGGCCCTGTCTTCTTCGCCCACCCATCTCCCCGAGGTACATACACTTTTCTCACCTGATGGAGTTTCTGCAGAAAATGTTCTTAAGGGGATCATTGATGTAAATGACGCGGGCTTCTGGCTCTTCTGAGCCACGCAGAACTTGTTGGCAGCTCATCCTTTCCTGCACCTTCTGGCCCTCCATGGAGAAATGAGTAGGTCCTGCAGCAAGAGGGCACAAGGGCATCACACAAAAATGCAAGCAAAGGCAGGCTCACACCGGCAGCTGTGGCAGGTCCCCTGGAGGCAGGCTGCTCTCCCAGCCACCAGCTCCTCTCCTGCCCACTCCCTCCCCCAGGATCTGTGATTTGACCAGGTGATGTTAAACAAAAAGCAAATGAGAGCAATTTTCTTATTCAAGTTCAAAATGGGTCGTAAAGCAGTGGAGACAACAACACCAACAATGCATTTGGCCCAGGAACTGCTAACGAACGTACAGTGCAGTGGTGGTTCAAGACATTTTGCAAAGGAGACGAGAGCCTTGAAGATGAGAGCTTAGCAGCCGGCCATCAGAAGTTGACAAGGACCAATTGAGAGCAATCATTGCAGCTGATCCTCTTACAACCACATGAGAAGTTGCCGAAGAACTCAGGGTCAACCATTCTACGGTCATTCCACATTTGAAGCAAATCGGAAAGGTGAGAAAGCTTGATGAGTGGGTGCCTCATGAGCTGACTGAAAATCAAAAAAATCATCACTTTGAAGTGTCGCCTTCTCTTCTTGTACGCAACAACAACGAACCATTTCTCCATCAGATTGTGACATGCGATGAAAAGTGAATTTTATATGACAACCAGTGACAACCAGCTCAGTGGTTGGACTGAGAAGCAGCTCCAAAGCACTTCCCAAAGCCAAATTTGCACCAAAAAAAGGTCATGGTCACTGTTCAGTGGTCTGTTGCCGGTCTGATCCACTGCAGCTTTCTGAATCCCAGCAAAATCATTACATCTGAGAAGTCTGCTCAGCAAATCAATGAGATGCACCAAAAACTGCCAACACCTGCAGCTGGCATCAGTCAACAGAAAGGGCCCAATTCTTCTCCATGACAACACCCCACCACACGTCACACAACCAATACTTCAAAAGTTGAATGAATTGGGCTATGAAATTTTGCCTCATCCACCATGTTCACCTGACCTCTTGCCAACCGACTACCACTTCTTCATGCATCTTGACAACTTTTTGCAGGGAAAACGCTTCCACAACCAGCAGGATGCAGAAAATGCTTGCCAAGAGTTCATTAAATCCCAAAGCAGGGATTTTTATGCTACAGGAATAAACAAACTTATTTTTCATTGGCAAAAGTGTGTTGATTTTAACGGTTCCTATTTTGATTAGTAAAGATGTGTTTGAGCCTAGTTATAATGATTTAAAATTCAAGAGTCTAAAATAGCAATTATTTCTGCACAAACCTAATAACTAAAATCAGAAATGAAAGTAGGGTCATTACTACCAATTCTACAGAAATAAAAACAATTACAGTATGAGAGCACATGAAAAATTTTGTGCCAACAAATTGGGTGGTCTAAATGATACAAATTCCTAAAAACACAAAACCTGCCAAGACTAAATCACAAGAAATAGAAAATCTGAGTAGACCTATACTTAGGAGATTGAATCACTAATAAAAGGTCTCCCAACAAAGAAAAGCCCTGGACCTGATGCCTTCACTGATGAATTCTTTTGTTTTGTTTTGTTTTTTTAAATGGCACATAATAGTTTTGTATATCTGTGGGGTAGGTTGGGATATTTTGATACATATATACATTGTGTGATGATCAAAGCAGGGTGATCATTGGCATATTTATCACCTTATAGGTTTATCTTCACTAGTGAATTCTACCAAACATGAAAGAAGACTAATACCAACTCTTCTAAAACTTTCCTTAAAAATTGAAGAGGAGAAAACACTTCCTAACTCATTCTATGAGGCCAACACTACCCTGGTACCAAAGCCAGACAAAAACCCCACAAGAAAAGTACAGACCAATATCCCTTATGAACACTGATGAAAAAATCCTCAACGATATATTAGCAAACTGAATAATGGATGAAAATCATGTTTAAAAAAATTATACATCACGACCAAGTGAGATTTATTTATGGAATACAAGTTTGCTTCCATGTATGAAAATCAATCAAAATTTACTGAAATTAATCAAAATTAATAAAAAGAATCATCATATTAACAAAATGAAGGGGAAAAACCATGAGATCATCTCAACTGATACAGAAAAGCATTTGATGAAATTCAACACCCTTACATGATAAAAGCATTCAGCAAATTAGGAATCGAGGCTGCTCCAAATCGAGGGGGAGGACAGGTGTTTAGGGAAAATGTTGGGGTTTTGGGTGTCAGGAGCCAGCAGATGTGTGAGCAGAGGGGGTCAGCAGCTGGGCTGTGACTGCTGCAAGGGGCTCACGGTGTGCAAGTGTGAGGAAAAAGAGGGAGAAGGAAGGGTGCCTCTCAGCCTGCAAGTCCTCTTCCTGGGGTGCCATAAGTGCTGCCAATTTCCCAGCTACTAAAGAAAGAGGAGGAAGATCTTAGCAAAGCAATGTCTCAAGATGGTGCTTCTCAGTTCCAAGAAGACATTCAACAAGAGCTGGAATTATCTGTGGAGACGGAACTAGAAAATGGGCACACTAAAAAAGATCTTGATGGATTTCAGAAGCTATTTCATAGATTTTTGCAAGAAAAGGAGACTTCTGTGGATTGGGGAAAAATCCAGGGATCTCCAGAAAATTTGATTCAATCCTATAAAAAGATAAAGGCCAGAGGCTTGCCTGATAATACATCTTCTGTGTTGAACAAGCTAGTGGTGGTGAAACTCAGTGGTGGTCTGGGAACCAGCACGGGCTACAAAGGCCCTAAAGATCTTATTGGTGTGAGGAACGAGAATACCTTTTTGGATCTGAATCTTGAGCAAAATAGAGCATTTGAACAAAACCTGCGATACAGATGTACCTCTTGTTTTAATGAACTCTGTTAACATGGATGAAGATACCAAAAAAATACTCCAGAATTACAATCATTGTGTAAAAATCTACACTTTTAATCAGAGCAGGTAGCCAAGGATTAATAAAGCATCCTTAATTACTGTAGCAAAGGGTGTATCTTACTCAGGGAAAATGTAGTAGCTTGGGACTCTCCAGGTCATGGCAATATCTATGCCAGTTTCTATTAATACAATTCTGGTTTGCTTGATACCCTTACAGGAGAAGGTAAAGGTATATTTTTGTGCCTAATATAGATAACCCGGGTACCACAGTGGATCTTTATATTCTTAATCATCTAATGAACCCACCGAGTGGAAAATGCTGTGAATTTGTCACGGAAATTGCAAACAAAACACACACCAGATGTAAAGGATGGGATACTCACTCAATATGAAGACAAACTTGGTGGGAATTGCTCAAGTACCAAAAACACACATTGATGAGTTCAAGTCTGTATCAAAGTTCAAAATAGTTAACAGCCACCTGCGGATTTCTCCTGCAGCAATTAAAAGACTGCAGGAGCAGACTGCCATTGACAAGGAAAATCACTGTGAGGCCAAAGACCGTGGATGGAGGACTGAATGTAACTCAATTAGATGCTGCAGGAGGGGCTGCCATTAAAAGTTCTGAGAATTCTCTAGGTAATAATGTTCCAAGGAGCCATTTTCTGCCTGTCGAAACCACATCAGGCCTCTTGCTTGTGATGTCAAACCTCTACAGCCTTACTGCAGGATCTTCGATGATGAGTGAAAAGGAATTCCCTGCAGTATGGTTGGTTAAATTAGGCACTTCTTTTACAAAGCTTCCAGATTAACTAAGAAGATTCTAAGTTATACAAGATATGCTTGAATTGGATCACCTCACAGTTTCAGGAGATGTGACATTGGGCAAGAATCTTTCATTAAAGGGAAAGCTTATCACCATTGCATGTCATGGTGACAGAATTGACTTCCCACCTGGACTGGTATTAGACAACAAGATTGTATCTGGAAACCTACGCATCTTGCACCACTGAAATAAAAAATACTGTGGCTACTTGATACTAATTATTAAACTTTATACTATTATTAATCGTAACTCTTACAATGAAGTGTTCTCTAGGATTCTAAAATGACAGGTACTTTACTATGTTACAGATCTTTACCATACACTACTCACAGAATACACGCCAGGTAAGCCAAAGGTCCGAATATGAACAGCAAAACTTTAAATGTTTAAAAGAAAATATTAATGACATTTTTATATCCAGGGCTGGGAAAGAGTTCTTCAAAAAGGTGCAAAAAATACAAGCTATAAAGGAAAATACTAATTAATCTGACCATTAAAACTAACAAATATTTGTGCACTAAAATAGTAAAATAAATTTGAAAAGCAAACCACGTACTTCTAGATTACATCTTTTTGTTGTTGTAGAGACAGAATCTTGCCATGTTACCCAGGCTGGTCTTGAACTCTTGGCCTTAAGGGATACTCCCACCTCGGCCTCCCAGATTTCTGGGATTACAGGCGTGAGCTGCTGCACTCGGCCTAAGTTATGGCTTTTAAAAACTCATACATGTATACAAGAAGATATGAAAAAAGATGTGCATTTCAGTGCTGTTTATAACAGTGAGAAATGGGAAAACCTAATACCCACCAACAGAGAAACAGCCAAATAAAACCCATGATAATCATACAATGAAATACTGTAGAGACATTAAAAAGAGTGATTCTTTCAATAAATAAGATGATGATGATAGATCTCAAAAACCTAAGAACAGCGTGAAAAAGATAGATATAGGTATCCTATTCAACCATTTATGTAAACTTTTTTTAAAAAAACATACCTACAATATAATATCTCGCTTATAGATCTATAGATACATATAAAATTCTAGACCTAATGAAGGACTAAAATCATTCACAACACCTATGTAATAGCAGTTGCTGGGGTCAGGGGCGAGAGGAATGAGCTGGAGGTAATGGTTAAAGGTGACTTTTGCTTTGTTTGCTTTATCTCTAAGGATTTATTTCTTTAAAAAAAAAAAAAAAAGCACGAAGAAAATCCTGAGACAATCCTGGAAGCAAATATAACAAATGTTAAAGGTTGTTTGTTCTGAAATATGAGTGAAAATATAAGTGTTTGTTGAATTTTGTACACACCCACACACACCCCGCACGGACTG